CCTCTGCTTGAAGGCGCCGGCCGTCTGGGCAGGGAAGGCACGGGAGGACGTGCCGTAGTCGGGGGGCGGGATGGCCAGGTCCTCCTTGTCCAGGAGGTTCCCGGTGCTGCTGCTCTTCCCCTGCTGCAGGCTGCGGGGACGGGGCACCGGGGGTCAGTCCAGTCCCAGCCCAGCCGCCCTCAGCCTCACTGGGCCCCTCAGAGAGGGCAGGACAGGAGGCTGCTCTCAGTGACCTGGGGTGCAGCCCTGACTGGACCCCCTCCTCGAAATGGCAGCCACTCAACCCCTCGGTGGTCCTGGTAGTCACTCTTGCCCTGAGGGCCAGAAGGACCTGGGGGCTCATGGGGGAGTGGCTGGGCCCTCACCGTGCACGCTGCCCACAGGGGAGGGCTGCGAGGGTGTGCCCCAGGCCTAGCGTGGGGCAAGGACAGCCTCCCCACAATGGGCCACTGAACAGGAGCCATCCCACAGTCATGATGAGCACTCCCAACACAGCACACCCACACCCCTGCATCTAAAGCCTCAGGCGAGCAGCGCTCAGGGCACCTGCCCCCGGCACGCTCACCTCATGTGCAACCTGTCGCCACCGTCGCTGTCCAGAACCCGGGTGTAGGAGAAGGGGAACCAGCCCCGCCTGGAAGAGGAGACCCTGGTCAGAGTGCACCAGCCCCTTTGCCCTAGTCTGCTACCTGACCCCAAGTCCCACGGGTCCCCTGGCCTGGCCGCTCCCATCTGTGGAGGAGACATGTGTAAATGCTCCAGGGAGACCAAGAGACCCCAGCTCCCACCGGGGGTGTTCATCCAGCTCTAAGCTCTGTGCCCTGGACAGGAGCGAGACTAGGTGTGGGGAAGATGCCAGGACCCCAGGCAGGGTGCCTGCTTCTTTTAACACATAGGGCTGGTCTCCTGCCAGGTGGCCCAGCTGGGCGGGGCCTCAGCCCCAGGAGGGCATACAGAGCCACACCACCACCACAAGACACCGTTCAGAGAGAGGCAGGTGTGGTGTCTGGGAAAGGGGGTGTCCCCCAGTGCCCCTGCCCCTCAGAACCCCCCTTAGGGTGGCGGCTGCCAGGAGGTCAGAGCGAAGCCCCGTCCAGCATCTCCCTCCCAGGCTACGTAGGGAGGCACGCACCCGGGCAGATCCTGCCCCCAGCAGATCCTGCCCGCAGCAGGGGTCTCTCACCCCAACAACAGGCGTGGGCAATGGTTGGGGGGAGGGGCAGCTCCTGATGGGGCAGCCCCTGAGCGGAGCGAGAGCCAGACAGTGGCACAGCCTCTAGACAACGAGTATGACGTGAAGCCATGAAAGCGCGGCCCCCTTTGACCCATGTCCCTTCTAGAACCCAACTCCAAAGCTGGTCACACGTGCACAGGGCATGTGGGGAAGGCTGGCATCTGCCGACTGGAGGCCTCACGCGGCAGCAGGGGAGGCGGGAGACGAGGTCACACGCGGGACGCCTGGCAAGTCAGGGGACGGCGGGGGCCCGCGGCTGCGTCTGCTCGGGCTGGATGAGCAGCCTGCGGGAGGCGTGGGGCCTGGATGCCCAGGGACCAGCAGGGCTGCTCCCCCCACCCCGGGGACTCACATCTTTGTCTTCTCGCTCTCGCCGTAGTGCCAGCCATCTCGGGCCTCGGGCACCAGCAGGGTGATGAGGTCGCCCTCCTTGAAGCTCAGCAGTGTGCTGTTGTCACCGGCCGCGTGGGAGAAGATGGCCTTCACCCGCATGCGGCCATTGCGCTCCAGGCCGGCTGCCATAGAGCTGGAGCGGGGCAGGGTCTTGTTCTCCGCTGCCGGGACAACAAGGCAGGTGTGAGGGGTCTCGCCCCAAGCGGGGAGACGACGCGGTCGGCCTGCGTCAGCTCAGCTGCGCAGCGGTGGGGCAGCAGGAGGCCCCTGGACACTCACCAGACCTCCGGGGCCCTTTGGACTCAGACCGCTGGGACGTGTGTGGACCCAGCCCCAGACCTGCCACCTGCTAGCGGGAGTACTTCCCAGGGCCCAAGCCCCACCTTTCTCATCTGCGGATCCGGAGCCCCTTACGGCCAAGGCCCCTGCGTGGCTGCAGGAGGGAGTGGGAGCCGGGCTGGAGGCAGGCAGGGAGCGGTCCCCCTGTCCCTTGGTCCGGAAAGCCCTCCCCAGCATCACCCCTGCTCCTGTCATGGGCTGCGCTGCAGGGTCCTGGCCCCGCCCTGCCACGCTCACTTAACGAGGAGGCCCGCCCAAATCCAGGGTCCAGGGCAGAGACTTCACCGAGGCCCCAGGTCGCGTACCCCTAAGCCCCCGAGCCCCCCACCCCAGCCCTCGGCCTGCTTTCAGGGCGGCGTCCCTTCTGCGGGCGGGGGGCAGGACGGGGCCGGGAGCTCTTACTGGCGGCATAGCTGCTCTTGGGCGCCACGCTCTTGCGCACGGGCAGCGTGTTGGAGTAGGAGTCGCTCAGCTTGCCCTGCGACTGCAGAGGGGGCGTGCTCTTGGGCTGAGCCGCCTTGCGGTCAGCCCAAGGGTTGTAGTCCTCGCTGTCCGGGCCCGAGACGCCGTTCATGACAGGCGCGTTGTCCTGGGCTGACAGCCGCTGTTGAGAAGAGGCAGCAGAGGCGCGGTGTGGCAGGAGAGCCTGGCCTGGCGAGGCCACGTGGAGAGCCCCAACCCGCCACGCCTGGAAAGCTTTCCAGAGCAACGACTTACCCCCACAAACGGGGCCAGCTCGGGGGGCACTGGCAGGGGCTTGGCCCCCGGAATAGGGTCCGAGATGACCAGGTTGGACTTGGAGGCCGAAAGGGCGCTGGGCAGGATGGAGCCGTTGCTGCTGGCCACCTGTTGCATCAGCTGCACGGCGCGGTCCGGGATCTTGTTGGGATCCGCGCAGGCCTGCTGCCACAGGGGCAGCTTCTGCGCCAGCAGCTCCTTGCCCTGAAGTGGAGGTAAACACGGTGGGTGGGAGCGAGGGCCGGCCGTTGCTCCTGCAGCCGGGCAGGGCTGGGAGGGCCTACGCACAGGGCCTGCAGCCGACCTCAGTCACGGATACGCCCTCCCCCTCGGCAGCACCGGAGGCTTCTAAAGAGACACGCCTACCCGGGAGGGGGCGTTGCCCGGGCTGCTCTTCACCAAGCGGGGCACCCCACAGCCGGCTCAGCCACCTGTGGGGCCTGGAGCCCCAACCCTGGAAAGGGGATGCAGGGCAGTGAGCCGTGCAGTCAAGGGTTCCCCAGGAATGCGATCAAACCAAGGCCTGCCCTGGGCGGGGGCCTCCTCAAGAGCCCAAGGATGTTGACATGCACAGGTGACCACGTGGTCAGCCATGGGGCAGGCAGCCTTTGTGGACAAACCGCGAGATGCTGGGAAGAACACCATCCTCGCAGGTCTGAGGGTCAGGCCCCGACTCGGGCCCGAGAGCCCACCAGGGCCTGCCCAGGACACAGGCGGCCAGATAAGCACAAGGGCTGACAGAAGACAAGGAAACCACGGCCTCGAGAGGGGCCGGGGGTAGGGTACAGCCAGAAGTGAGACACCAGCCAGAGATCCCCTGCAGCCCTTTCGAGCATGGGGAGATCCAGGCCTGCTGGCCCAACTGGGCTACCATACCTGCAGCAGGTGATACAACCCATGTCCCACTGCAGACCCCAGGCCCGCTGGACGGAGCTACCCCCAGCCTGGAACAATCACGGTCTCCAAGACCTTGGAAAAGGCTGTCCAGCCCTCACTGCTTCTCTCCCTTTGCTTCCTACTTCTTCTGACCTGTGTCTGGGGCAGGAAGGGGCACCCACATGGGAAGACTGGACGATGCTGGACAAACAGCCCTGAGCAGACCATGGCCCTTTCCACCACCTGCTTGTTCAGACCAGGGGCCAGCAAACTACGGCCTGAGGGCTGGCTGCCCACCCGTAAATAAGGTTTGAGGACCACGGCCACACCTACGTGGTTTACACATCTGTGGCAGCTTCCGTGTGCAGTGGCCAAAACAGAAAACATTTACCATCTGGTCTCTGGTGGAGGTAAACGGCTGAGGAGAAAGCGGGTCAGCAGGGACCCAGCCCCAACCAGGGCAACCCAGGGTGAGGGTGCAGCCCAGGGCTCTACCAGGTGCTGACGGCCACGGCGCTGCAGGGCCTGGAGCTGCGCCCCAGGGAAATGCCGGTGGCCAGCTGCTGGGGATGGGGGTCCTGCCCTCAAGCCCTGGCGCCCTAGCCTGGGGCTCCTGCCTCTTTCTAACCCCCTAGGAGGCTGGGGTCCAGCTCCCTGGGAAGTTGCCTATCGAGTCTCGCTCACGCGCTGTCAGCTCCCCAAGAAAGCGGGCGGTGGCGTCCTGGGGCAGGACGGCTTTTCTGTCCTCCAACCGCATGGACGAGCCCGCGCGCTCCCTGACCAGCCGCAGGCCCAGCCGCCACCAGAGGGCGCACATGCCCTGCTGCAGCCCTGCCTGGGGCTGCGTGGCAGTGCGGCCACTGCTGCTGGAACACTGCGGCTGGCAGCAGGTGCCCGCCCGGCGGTGCAGGTAGCGACGGGGCCCCTCCCACGTCCTGCTGCCAGCGAGCCCTCCTAGCACAGGCCCCGGACGCAAAGCCACTTAGCAGGGTGGCCCCACCACGACCTGCAGGGACACAGGTCCAGTTGCTGTCCTTGCCTAACACCTGTGGTGAGGGCCCTCAGGCCAGCACCAGCAGCAGGGGCCTCTCCACGGAGGGAGGGCCTGGCTCCTTGGTGGCCAGGCCAAGGCAACCACAAGCTGAGCCAGATCAAGCACACATGTGAGGCACACGAACCCTGCCGACCCGCAGAACCCCTTATGGAAAAAGGACCCAAACCAGGGCCTCCCTGGTTGGCTCAGCTGCCTGACCACATCTATTCTCTCAGAACGTTCTGGTATGTCCCAGCGCACAGGGCTGACCCGACCCCAGATCTGCCTGTGGACTATGGGGAACAGAAGGTCCACTGAAGCTGCCTATCCCTGCAGGGGAGCCAGTGTCCTCTGGGGCTCGCTGGCTCTGGCGGGGAGGGGTGCCTGGGGGAAGCCCTCGTAGTGGGCTATCAGGGTAACTGCTCTCACAAAGACCCCAAAGCAATTCCTAATATTAAAACATCTGTACCCTTGACCTGGTAACTCTTCCTTGCCCAACTCTCCCTGGGGTCGGGACGAAACACATGGGGCATTGGGCATGGTGCTTTCATCACACCTCAAGGCTGGGCACCCCGAGTTCCCTGGGGGAAGCAGCCTGTGTCTGCAGAGGCATGCCTGGCCCCACACAGAGTGAGCACCTCACCTTGGAGTGGTAGGCGGCGGAGTTCTTGGCCACGGCGCACTGCTTCTCCACCAGGAAGCAGAACCTCCTCCTCTCCTCGGTGAGGGCAGTCTTGTAGCCGTCCGACACGTAGCTCTCCAGCTCGCCCTGTTTGTTGCCGATCGCATCGATGTACTGAGGGGGAGGGAGGGCAGGCAGGTGAGCCCTCGGCAGGACAGCATCCACCCACCTCCAGTTCTGGGCAGCCCCACACAAGTGGAGCGTGCCACCTCCCAGCCGGCCCACTGGTGGGGGGCTTGGCCACGTGACTCACTCCGGCCACAAGTGTGCCCTGCTGTGTCACTGCCCCCTGGCTCCCTGGCCCCTCTGAGCCCTGGCGGCTGCACATGTAGAGACCACACTGGCGGATAGCTCAGTGAGGCCTGGGGGCGGCATAGCACTTCCAGTGGATCCTAATTCCAACCACCGAAAGCCACCCCAATGGTTGGTGCATCAGGAATGCTCAGCCTGCGTGGTGTGTTGAGATGACTAATTCACACCCAGATCCCACAGGGGTGGGCAGAGGATGCAGACGCAGAAGACACTGCCTGACGCTGGGCCACAGTGGAACGTTCTGCAGGCTGGAAAGTTTTGGTAAAGTCCTGGGCAGCTGTCATGGGAGGCAGGAGCCCCGACACGCACCGTCAGGGCCCAAAGAGCCCCCTCAGCGTCTGTGTGCACGCCCATCGAGCCCTGGGGGCTCCAGTGGGCACAGGGCCCTTCCAGCTCCCTCCTGTCTCCCCTCCCCTCTGCACCCACTGTCCACGAGGTGCGCAGACACCCCAGCCCTGGGGTCTCTGTCTGGGAGCAACTTTTCCAGAATCGAGCCCCGTCCTCCGGCAGGGGCAGGCCCGGGCCGCGAGGGTGCGGCCTCCCTGCAGCTCTGACACCGTGTGGGTGGGCAGCAGCGCTCAGCTGGGGGGTGAGGACTAGCCTGCCTGCCGGCTGTGGGCTCGGCCCCTAGGCTGTCACCAGCGCACTGGCTCTGCCAGCCTGAGCACAACACCCTGGCACGGCCTGCCCTGCGCTGTGTGCTGTCACCAGAACTGGGACCCTGCTCCCTCTGCTCTGCAGACCACCTCGCCTCCCACACTGAATCCCACCTCCGCGCCCTGGGAGAACAGCTTAAACGGCCTCAATGTGGCCAGCCCACTACCCACCCGAGGGAGCGGCAGGGTCACGGCTATGACCATGGGGCCCGAGTGCCTGAGAAATGTCTGAGGGGAGAGGTCTCCAGGGCAGGGGGTGTCCAGCGGGCTCTGGGCCGGGCCTGCTCCTCACCCCTCTCCCTGCGCCCGCCGCGGCAGCCTGGAGGCTCCGGGAGCTCTTCTCCCGGTTACTAAACATGCCAGTGCCTCCTGCCCCCGCTGCCGCACAACCTCCTGAACCACGGCTCCTCTGGGAAGTGGGGGTGCGCCTGCAGATCGGGGGTGCTGCTGGGGGCCTGTGGAGGGCATGGTGGGCGAGGCCACGCTGTGGGGGGAGCCCTCAGATGCCACCCAGGAGCTGGCTCAGACCCCTGGGGTGCCTGTGAGGACAGGAGGCCTGGGGGCGGAAACACTCCTGGACAGAAGGGCCTGGAAGGGACAGGGCTTGCTCAGAGAAGGGACACTGATGAACACTCCTTCCCCTGTCGCCGAAACAAGCAACGCCCAGTGCTGGGGTGAAGCCCCCAAGGGCCCCACGCTCGCTTTGCTCGCTTTGCCCCCCTCCAGGGGACGTTCGGACATGGACGTGGCCTTACAGGCTCCAACCAGCCCCGGACAGGGATACCTGCCTTAGCCCAACCCCACACACGGGCTCGGCTGGGGTCCCAGGAGCCCCCTAAGGGAAGGCTCATGAGAAGTCTCTGCGAGGTTCTGGAAGGAGTTCAGGGTTTAACCCTCAGAGGAAGCCCCACCCAGGCCCCTCGTGGTGTCCCCACCTCCCACTCCCCCTTGGGGCTGCTCCAAGGCCAGCCAGGCCTGGGAGCTGGGGACTCAGGGTGAGCCAGGCATGTGCAGACCCCACGCCCGGGCGGGACGGGCTGAGGCGCTTAGAAGGCCTAGTTGCCACCTGAACAGGGACTTCGAGGAGGGAGGGGCGCCTCTGTGAGCGGTCGTCCCAGGACAGCGGCGCAAACCAGGACGTGGGCCCCCGGGGTCTGGCCGCCCCAAGCCGGCTGCTGAGCACAGCTCCTCCCCGAGCCGCCCGGTGTCCCCGTCGTCCTGCAGACGGTTTCTGGGTTTTCAGGCTGCGGCACCGTCTTTCACATCAACGCCCGTGCTCCCTGGAGGGGAGGGAAGCCAGCGCTGGACATGCAGGCGCAGGGCGCTGGCCTCATTAGATGCCTGGCGGCCTCCTGTGCCAGGGCAAGGAGCGGTGGCTTACTTTTAAGATTTCCATTTATTCAAACAAGGCCCGACAGTGGCCCAGGTCTCAGGCGGGGTAACCGGAGTGTGGGCAGGAGAGCCACCCTGGCGGCCCCCAAGAGATGGCTGGCCTGAGGGGGGCCATGGGCACTGGGGGCCCTCACACCCAGCACCCCGGCCGGGACACACGCATGCCCTGCTGCTGAGGAACAGCGGTCCTCCTGACTCCTCTTCCAGGACACCAGCTCCTCACGGATAGAAGCCACCACTTCACGGGGCAGATACTGGCAATTCAGGCCAAGAGAGGAGCGAAGGCCTTGAAGGCGAGGGACAGAAGGACGCCCTACCCCGCAGGCTCCAGGCCCCCTGGCCGCTGTGGATAGGGACACCCCCCAAGATGCAGGAGTGTGCACGCTTTCTGGAAAGCGCAGAGGACAGAACATGCGTGACCCCACACCCCAGTGACTTAACAACAAGCCGCGGGAGAAGCCACAGCCGTCCCTGCCCACCCCCCGCCCGGCTCCAGCTTAGCGGGTGCCATGGCGACGGCACTATAGAAACACCCAGCTGAAAGCATTTAAGACCCACAGAACGCGCCCACTTAGTCACCCTGGGCTGAACAGCCCTGTAATCCGAGAAGACAAAAGTGGTCAGAACACGTGTCTCCTCTCCTCTCCGGAGCAAGTGACTCAGAGGTGGGGGAGGGGCGCTGGCTTCGGTCTCCCCATGGTGGCTTTCCCACGTTCCTCAAAGCCCCACCAACGCTGGGAACCAGCGCTGCAAGGATGAGGGACTTGACTAGCTGGGACGCACAGGAAGGAGCATCAGGAATCTGATGCCCCCAAACGGCACTCGGTCACCGGGCACCTGCTGGCCAGGCCTGTGCCCCCTCCCTGGTCTGAGGGACCCGACAACCCAGGCCCAGAACAGGGAGGCCGGCCCAGGGCCGGCAGGGGGAGCGTGGTGGGAGCTGTGGCAGCGGATTGCTGGAGAACCCTTCAATCTCATTTAAAGAAGGGCTCAGAGCAAGACTCAGGCCCGGGCTGAACAGAGGTAACCGCGCCCTCCTGCCCACATCCTTGGCAGAAAGGGCAGAGTCTCTGGCAGGCGTCAGGGGCCTGAGGGCCCAGGGCTCCGGCTTCCCTGAGAAAGGGCCACGGCTATCATCAGATCGGCTGGCGGGTCTGGGACCAAACAGATCCCACTGCCCCGCCCTGCCTGGGGTACTGAGACGCCAGCATCCAGGAAGCACGTCGTGGGAGATGCGTGCCCATGGCCTCCCCACGCCAGACTCCCAGGAGAGAGCGTGGGGCCACTTCTGTCCACACCAGTGGGCTGGACGTACTACAAAGGCCTGAGGCCCACAGACCAACCTGCCTCCAAGGCCCATGGGGACGGGTCTCACCAAACCATGAGCACAATGAGCCAAGACTCTGGGCGACCGCCAGGGAGCGCACCACACCTCCAGGATCCCTGTCGTACGGGTCTGCTCCCTGGGGCCTGGGCTCCACGCCCACCTTGCTGGGTGAACCCCGCCAAGTCTCTGGACCCTCTGGGTCTCCATTTCTCCGTCTGGAAAGCCAGGGCCCAGATGGTCCAGATCAGCTCTGCCCGGCAGGGCAGCCCCTGCCGAACGCGACCCGGGAGGTGAGCAGGTCACATCCAACTTCAAAGACTTAGGAAGGGAAGCAGGATGCAGAACATCTCAACAGGGTCTACGCACTAACGTGGCGTTCTACACACACCCAGCTGACAAAACGCGCTATTAAAGCAGCTGCACCTGCCGTTCTGGGCACTTTTCACACAGCCAGCTCTCAGGAGAGCTGTGTCCGGCGCTGCCCTCGAAGGCCTTCCTAGCTCTGACAGGAGCAGCTCCAGACTTCCCTTGGTGCTGTCCAGGCAGGCAGCCCACCATGCGGCTCCATCGGGGGACCTGGGGGTAGTCATGGAGGGGAGCAGAGTCCCCCAGAGGACCCTGAGTGTCCTAACGCTGTGTCCTCTGTACACAGCGGTCCTGAGAGGGTGCAGCGGCCTCTGGCTTCTCATTTTTTTCCAGGCGGACAGACCCTTAACTGATTTAACTCTGAAGAAAGATGTCCCCGCTGCTGGGTCGCGGTGCCTCGTCCACAGACTGCCTTTCACACTGAAGAGCTTTTTAAACGAGAACAGCAGACACAAGAGAGGCTTGAACCACTGCCGTCAAACTGCACCCGTCCACGGGCCAGCCCCTGCCGTGATCTTTCTTGAAGATCTAAATTATGGTTATTTTGTTTCTGCTTTGTTAATTACACACCCCTTTAAATAGAAGCGTCTCTCCCCTTTCTCGGAAGGCAATCTGGATGCCTCCCGGAATGAGGGAACCCAGGGAGGGGAGCAGACGGACGGGACCACCAGGCCCCAGCTACAGCCCGTGTCCCTCAACAGGTACAGTCGAGGCTCCGCTCTCTGCTTCTCAGGGAGGGAATGGGGAAGTGGATCAGAGTGGCTCTGGGCCCCTGGCAACCTCAACCCTGGGTGGGTGGGTGGGCTACGGGTCGGGCCCTCTGCTCTCCCAACAGCAGGAGCCTGCCTGGATTGGCTGCAGAGAACTAGAGCTGGGCCAGCAGGGACATTCCAGGCCCTGGCTCTCCAGCTCCATCCACCAGGTCTGGACCACACTAGGGGTGACCCCTGCCCCACGCCTGCCCCCAGGCCCAGCCACCTGCCTCCTGCCCTCTCTTCCTGGGCCCTCACCTGCTTGCGGGCTTGCCGGCTCCTCCCTCGGCGCTCAGTGCCGGCACTCGG